TATTTTATTTTATTTTATTTTATTTTATTTTATTTTATTTTATTTTATTTTATTTTATTTTATTTTATTCTATTTTATTTTATTTTATTTTATTTTATTTTATTTTATTTTATTTTATTTTATTTTATTTTTTTTCATTTAATCTATAACATTTTATTTGGTTTTATTTTATTTTGCTTAATGTTTTACTTATTAAGTTTTTAAATTTCTTATTTTGTATTTAATTTTCTTATAGTAATTATTTATTCAAACTTTCTTTATTTTTGTTAATACAATTTAATAATTTTTTTTTTTATTGAATTAATTAATTTATTTTTGTTTACAGTTTTTATTTAATTTGAAAGCATTTAACTTAATTTTGCATATTTTTTATATTAATTTTTTCATTTTATTTCACATCATTTCACTTTCTCACTAAATTTAAATTCATTATTTAATTTTCTTACATTATTTTCTATATTTTTTATTTACTTCATCACATTAATTTCTTTATTAATTTTTAGTTTTAGTGTTCATTTTACTTTAAAGGTAATTTATTTAATTTTACTTTATTTTATTTACTCATTATACTTATTTTAATATTGTTTAATTTTTTGTTACTTTATATAATTTGTTTCCTTATCATACTTAATTTTTTTATTTAATATTTTCTTTTTTTTGTGTTTTTATTTAAGATTTTTTTTATTATGTTCCATTGCTTTGTGTCAAAAAATTTAAATGTATTTATTTTTCTTATTTTTTATAAAAAACTTTGTTATTCACACCTTTTTTTTAAATATTTTGGTTCTTTTAGCTAAATTTATTTGTTTTTAAAAATATTGTTAATATTTGTGTTTTGCACATTAATCTTATTCTTTATTTCTTTTTAAATTTTTATCTCTTTCATATCTTTTGTTCCATTCTACTTTTTCAATTACTTATTTTGGTGAAATACAATTTTTCCTAACCTCACTTCGTCAATTCAAAATAGGTTTATCACTTTCAGTACCTAATAACAAATTTAATAATCCCAAAAAAATCTAAGTCGAGTTTTTACATTACCTGTGAATGAGCTGAACATATTGTAGTTGTTGTTTTTGTTGATTCAGTTGCAGTTGCAAAAATTCAAAAATTTCGCTTTGCTTTGCACTAGAAAAATTCGTCGCAATTTATTGCGTGGGCGGTCTGGTTACAAGGCGTTGTTGTTGTTAGTTGTGTTGCTGCTGCAAGAGGAAATTTACTTTCCGTACACTTTTTAGGTACTTTGAGAAAATGTACCACACAAAATGTTTGCTATTTCCGTTTTAAATATAAAATGCACTTTTTAATTTTTTTTTTTTATATTATTTAATTTTTTGGTTATATTTCTGGTTTGTTTTTTCGTCGACACTTTTTGTATAAATTTCCACGTTTCTAGTTGCGTCCAGAGCTGTTCGCAGCGTAAACACGATTGAAGGCAGTCGCTCGCTGTAGAAGAAGTTGCTGCTGCTGCTAAAACAAAATCAAAAAGGCAAAGAACACCAACAAACACAGCATGTATATATTAAAATAATACCAGCAGTCAACACAACAACATGCAGGCCACCACCATGCAGCCACACAGTGGCTGTCAGACACTCGGTTGTGGTTTTTCGTTATGGCTACGGCTGGCATTGTTGGCGTATCGGCATCTTTCGTATTAGGCTGATTTTTCTTGTTGCTCCATTATTTTTCTTTACATGTGCGTTTGTTCGTTTGTTCGTTTGCTTTTTGTTTATTATTATTATTATTTTTTGCTTTTTGTGGAACGCATTCGTTTTCGGTCTCCCCAAAGTTGCCGAACGAGTTTTTGTTCTTGGCAACTTGTTTAATACTGTTTGAGCAACATGCTGCCACACTCACAGTGGAGCCGATATGGGTGGGGCATTTTCTTGCATGTAGTAGGATATGTCATTGATGTTGTTATTAAATTATCTGGTTTGTCCTCTGATGGGATCAGTAACATCCTTTAGAGAGCATCCAGAGAATTTAGCTCACGGTCGAAAATATTGGCGTCAATTCATCCAGAAATAAAGGAATCTTATCTTTGCAGTAAGAAAAAATTTAATACTTTTAACTTCCTGTCTCTGATTGGTCGAAATCTTTCTTTGAAGTAGAGGCTGATTACGGATCACCGGAATAAAAATATTAACGATGCTGAAGGAAGACAACAGGTGTGCATCGACTAGTCCACCAAAAGTGGTGGTAAGCCCAGGAAGGTTTCTGTTTCGACGGGGTCGCACCATTGGATAAGAGGTGTTAGCTGAGTGTATTCAATGAGGATTGTGTGTGGAGTGTCTACACCGAAATCTAGTCGGGATAAGGGATAGAAGGTTAGCCTGTTCCGGTTTCCAGAGCTCGGTTTAGGGAGTCTCCCGAGGTATCTGAAGCTTGGCGTCTACTACGGTTGGAGTTTGAACGTCGCGTGGAGTAGTTGTGCAATGTAGGTCTGTATATCGTCGATGAATCCGTGGAGATTCCTTCAGAGGCTCCTTTCTTAGACAGCCGGTTTCCCTACATTGGCAGCCGAGCAAGAATAGCTTACTGGTCATAAAACTATGTTCCCTGACGATGAACATTTAGGCCTTTCTATGTGTCCAAGCACCATCAGAAAGCTTTCCGCAGTGTAGTGTTTTCACAGGTCTGTAACATCGTTTCCTGCGGCAAGCGATTTAAGCACCTTGTTATGGCTCTTTACTTTATTGACAATTGCGGTTGCATCTGCGAAAAAAGGAGAATAGTCTGACAAAGGTAACCCAAAAATTGTAAAGTTATTAACTGCGGGTATTGGTGGTAAAAAGGGTCGAGAAAGAGTGGATAAGACTCGCGTAGAAGAGATGGGATTGATCAAAGAGCTGTTTATTTTCAAACAGGTTATGAATGCCATTGCCGAATGCCAATATAAAGCAATTGTCAGCGTATGAGGTAAATGCAGCTTCCTAAGGTGGTTGAATTAGCTTCGAACCAGCTGTTAAGATCTTATTGACCTCGAGTCTAGTACAGACGACTATCGACCACTCAAATAATGCGCCGTCCAAAGTTTAGTACCTGCGAGAGGAGAGATGTCTCAACATTCTCCACAAGCATGGAATGAAAAACCGATTTTTTTAGAGCAGTCGAAGGCGCGCGTTGTCTAATGGCTTATGGTGCTGTGCACTTTACGAAAGCCTTCTTAAAGACTAGCAGGGATAAGGTATTCCCTACTAAAGTAAGGCGAATAATTGAGTGATAATATTCTCCTCTATTGATTAGTTTTTGCGCTATTAGTTTTGGGATCACTCCGCCAGAATTCCACATATCAAGAATATTAAGAATGAACAACGACATGTTGAGGTATTCTACTCACAACGGGCCAAGTTCTCTAGTATCAACATGCATAGCTAATGGCTGCTAGGACCTTTTTCCATCCCGATGGCCAACTGAGCTTCAGCACTATTGGAAGTAAGTGACATTATAGTAGGTTTTAGGAGGTAGTGCAGACTTCTGGATTCTCGGAATTTGGCTACAAATAAAACGGCTGCCTTTTGTTGAATGTGATTTTCTCCCTGCCATCGCAGTTGGGCGGGTTGGGTAGAAACCGCACGATTGATCAACTCTATAGGCGAAGTTGAGTATTTGCCAGTATGTAGGGACGAGAAATACCGCGATCTACTTGGCGTATGGATGTTCGAGAGTCGTGCTTACATCTGAAGCAGGTTTTTGGACATGGGCGTATAAAATCTATTTACATCTGCCCAGCTTATCTATAACAAGAACGGCCACACTCTGTCTCCGATTACAATTAAGGGGGCATGCACATTTCTTTCTCAGCATTACGGCTCCAGTCCAGAGATCTTTTCAACGAGCCTATGTAGCCGAAAGTCACAGCATTTACTAAACATAAGGGCAGATTCAAAAAGCCTTAAGATATACTTTGTCTCAACATGTCGTAGAACCAATCTTTCTGAGGTGCTGAATACCTCAAGAGTGGAAGGGATTATCCTAAATACCTCTAAGTTTTATCAAGCGCGTTGGAAAATCCAGCCTTTTTTAACAGCGGAGCCGCTTCGGCTCCGATTTTTCAGCCATAGGTAAGCTTCTTACAAAAAACGATGTGCCATTCGAAGGCGCCGTAAAACTGTGACACACAAATTGGAGGAGAAGTTCAACCAAAAATTTAGAAAAGCATGTAAGGGTAAACTATTACTTTTTTAATAACTACTCACTTCGAGAATTCGTATCGCCATTATATCGACTGCTGAGTGGAAGAACGACCTATCTCGGTAGTCAGTTCGAAAACGCCCTACCTCAAACAACTTTTCAAGACCACCCTATCTCAGAATTTGGTTGAAGAACGGTTCGAAAACCCCCTATCTCACTTCAAAATATATTCTGCGTTATCCTGAGTTTCACCTGAAAAAAATTCACCCGAAAATTTGTCATCCGCCCATAGTAAAACCATGGAAACCAAAAGTGAAAAGTGAACCGGTTCGGGGAAAATGAAACTCATGATAAGGCTGATTGAAAGTGCGATGAATTAGGGCGTTTTTGAAATGAGTTCTGAAATAGGGCTTTCTTCAACCAAATTCCGAAATACGGCGTTCTTGTAAAGCTTTTTGAGATAGGGCGTTTTCGAACTGGCTACCGAGATAGGTCGTTCTTCCATTCAGCAGTCGATATGTACGCATGCCAGTACTTAGACTCGATATTATACTTGGTATCTACTGATCCAAAATCATTAACCTATTCACTGTTCAAGCTCATTCAATCATTCGTTTTGGTTCGTTTACGAAAAAAACAAAGCTTGACATTTTTTCTCAAAATTTCAACATAAGCAATCAAATCCAAAATCGTTACCTTAAGCGCGTAAAATAAATTAAAAAAACTTAAAAAAATTACCAAATTCTAAGTTTATTTCTTTGCTGCGACTCCTCTCTTTAACACTACCACTTTAAAAGCAATTTTTCAAGACAGAACCCAGAGATCCAAGGACTCAGTGATACTACCACATCATGGCATATGCATACATGCGAAGTCCGCAGATGGTGAAATATCCAATTCCCTATGAAAAATACTTGGTTGAAGTTGGCAAACGTATTGGACCGTACGGTAGGCGCGAATATATGGAAATGGAGCTATTTTTGCCCACACAGCCGGTAACACAACCACCCGCGAATCCCAACAAGGGCGTACAGGCAAAGGAAGCTGATATTGATGCCTGTATGAAGATTAAAGGGCCAGGCAAGAGTAAGAATGGTAAGAAGAAAGGCAAGAAGGGCAAATAGCAGAAGTAGTAGGCGAAGTTAACTCGATGCGTCGCTGATGAAATTCTTAATTAACTGAAGCAAGTAGAGTATGTGGAAAATTGTAAAATGCAGTTAGTGGCTTCGAGTGGTAATCTTTTCGTAGCGTGGTTTCTCATAATAGATATGTCTGTATGTAAACTTTTGCATAAAAATATGAGTGTCATTTGAAGAGTAGGCTACACTGGTTTTGATTAATAGTTTTTTTGCATAAATGTATGAATGAACTCATCACTAAACTGTGCAAGTATTTTTGTTGTATGTGTACATATGTATATATGTATATGCATCGTTTTATCTAATAAAATTTAATGGCGTCCATGATCGTTAAAAAATAGTTTTCTATTTAAAAAAAAAAGCCAAGCAAACTCTATGTCGCCAGGTACTCATAAACATTTCACTGGGTAATACTCCGCCACGAGAGAAAGATAGGTCTGGTATTCGCCTACTAGCTTTGAGCGAAGCGTGAGTGAGCCCAAGTACATGATTACCATTTGTTACTATAGTAAATATTTACCTCCCGTACCTGGAATCTATAGTACCCTGGAAGAAGAATTTACTGCAAATAATCCATTCCATTAAGTCCATCAAGTTTTGACTTATCTGTATTAAAGTTAACAGGTACCTCCTTACAACCACTGCCTCCCGTAGAGAAACAGGTAATTGGTGACAGTCTAGATACAGCCTTGGCTACGATGTCGACGGACGCAATGTCAAGGATGACATTAAGAGCAAAAGTTGGAGTTTTCCAAACTACCCCACTCGCTCCTGCTTTCTGACAGCGGAGCCTTCTCTATATGACTCCACCGGGCGAGGAATTCATAAAACATTATAGGCTTCACTATGGTTTCATAGAGATAGTGCAAATTTCTACTGAGGAGTGGTGCCTTATTCACATTTTATTTTTTTTTTTCAATATTGGGGAAGGGGTCGGATATTTCCTAGTGAACCAGACTAGTTTCATCTTACTAGGATTTATGGCACACAGACCGTTCAGATATATAATGTAAGCACTGCGACCAGTACGTATATTGTTTCTTCCTCATCGCATCACACCACATCAGCTAGCCCTAGAGATTTTATAGATTTCAGAATAAATTCCCTATGATCCTCTCCCTTTTACGTGAAATGGCCACACACTCCAGTAGGAGCTATAATGATGTCCGCATGGCGGTGTCACAAAAGCAACGCTTGACTATATTCCTAGTTTAGGCAAGTGACCTCTTAGCCTACAAAGACCTGTAAAAAGCTGTAATGATTTTTAGTTTCTCCATAGAGAGGTTTATAAGTAGTTTTCATCTTTCTAGATTG